TATATACAGTGAGTGCTTCAAAGTTGTGGAAATGTTCAGTAGAATCACTTCAGCTCATGTTTTTGTGTTGCCGGTCATGACTGAGGATTCACTGAATGTGTTTGGGGATTACGTCTCTATCTGTGTCTCCCTGCCTCCTCTCCAGTCGGTGTTTGTAAATGACTTTGAATAATATTACTGCCTCTGGTTCTTTGATGCTCTGTATTCCTCTCGTCTGAACGTGTGATTTCTGTTGTACATCACATCCTGACGTGTGATGTGTGTTCGACACAGTATTAAGATGTTTAGGTGTGGAAACATACAGCCCTGACTCCAGTAGCTCATGTTGTTCTCTGTTCATACTATCGGTGGTGACACTAAAAAATTGACGTCTGATAAGTTTTATAACTTTTTATTATTCACTGTTTGTTTGATGTAGAGATGAAGTGGTCGCTGTCCGTGGTGCTGAATCAGAGATAGTTCCCATGTGCTATCAGAGAAAAAAGTATTCTTTGATGAATATGTGGATCAATACACAGAAAATAAAACAGTGGACTATACTGTCTTGTTCCACGTACAATTTCCATAATTACTGTATATTCAGTATGAATGTAGCAGTTTGTTTTCTCTTGTAACACAAAGTTAATCTAGACCTTAAATCCTAACTAAACTTTAGATAAACAAGAAAAGAAATCCCAGTCATGAGGCTTATCTGGGATGATCATAACCCAGTCCCAGCTCACATGATAAATACAAGTATCCGGGATACTTATGACCGTGTGCTGTTTGTACAGTTGTCCACTTCGGCCGGTGTCGTGCTGGTACTGCCACTGCAAAGAACCCATTGGTAGTGAGCCATGCCGTATGAGTAGGGCATCATTTTACCGGCTGTGTGTCACAGTTGAACCTGTCGAGACAAAGATGATCAGTGATCAGATGTATGCACCAGTGTCCCGGTTACTAACAGAGTACTTCGGTTTCTTAAAATCTGGGATAAGGTCTTATCTAGGTCACTGAAGTGGAAACCAGCCTCTCTGATGATCAGTTTTGTTTGGACGAAGTTTGTTTTGAAATTCCAGATTGTGGTTGTGGCGCGAGTCTCAGCGGTAGTGGCAATAAGCTATTTCAGAGAAACAGTGATGTGGCTGGAAGATTGAGTTACCACATCAGCTGGGGAAATCTCAAAGAGTACAGAGGATGCAGTTACTACTTGCTAACTGCTAACAGTCGATTGTTTTCCTTCCATGATGTGATTGCGAAGCGGATTGTCGTCATCACCTGAGTGAATGAAACGGGTTCTTTTCTCCACACATTGCCTCGCTGCACTTGTAAACTTAATTCGATGCATTCGAGGAAACGTGAATCAGAACTCAGCTCTCTGAAGCTCCGGTCTTTTGTGTTTTTAAAGATTATATTAGAACGAATAGCCACCGCCTCATTTAGTTCTCATCCCTTTGAGGTTCAGTTAAGAATATAATCGGAGGCCATTCTCAGGGTTGCATTTGGATTTTTTCAATTACATCCAAACCTTAAACAGCGTATCAGCACCAGCACTATAAATGGGAAAATATGAGTTGGGTTGTACAATAGAGGAGAATTAGGCCAACAACCTTCACTGTGCACTGGTGGAAAAAAGCTCTACAACTATAGTGTGCCATTATCCTCTCGTATCGCTATGGTGACAGAAGCAAATTACAACCTGCACGGTTAGAGTGGACAATAAATAGTTCCTCTCTGCAGCAGAATTGTTAGAGCGCTGCGGCGTGGCCCGACTGTCATATGTCAAGATTGTAAAACGTCTACGTAACTGTCAGTTCTGTAGTGATAAATGAAAACACAATGCAGTTACTGCTTCTCAAAAAAAAAAAAGGTTTTGAGCTGTTGGTCATTCAATACAAGGAATTGATCAGTTTGAGCTTCTGGTAACTAAGATGAGTATTTAGAATTAAGAGATGATTTATCAGGTGATAAATCGATCGTTAGTTTGCAGCCCTATATGTTGAAATTGTGATTTAGAGCATGTTTATGCTATGTGTATGGAGTTTATGTCTTGGTGCTTATAATACCATAAATCCATAAAGTCGTTAGTGTCATAGTAATATATTGTAAGTGTCTCCTTTTATTCTCCTGAGGCAGCATTGAAATAAAGTGGAACCTTCATGTGGAACCAACTCCCCACAGTGAATGAAAATGACTGAGGCTGCTGCTGCGATGTACAGTACATTACACTGCACAGTCATTATCACGTGACCGCGTACACACAGCGGAACGTGGCGGCAATTTGTGTTCAATCATTTTACACTTGACTTTTCGGCCATTTTAAGAATATCCACTGGGTGCACGTAGCACACTGTACGTTTTCCATAAGGGTGTGATTATGTGAATTGAGACAAAGCCCAGGTTAACACCAGAGATAGTTTCCTTCTCCTCCCTCACCAAAAGCGCCTGTATGTAAAGTAAACACACCTGCTGTATATAAAGAGCTCCGCGTGATAAGAGTCCACTTGTAATCTTGTCTGCTCTTATCTACTGTACTTTGGGTCGACTTGTGTAAGCACAGATTCAATTAAACCAGTCACAGAGATTTACTGCCTGTGTTGTACAGGAGTGATGAATAATAATTGTAGCTCGGCTCTGTGATGTTAATCTAGAGCTTAAGCATGACTGAGTAGCTTTGTTCTGAATTCGGTGCACTGGCCAATTCATTGTGGACCCCAGCTGATGTTTACTCAGGCTGAGCCAGCAGCTGCTCACACGCTCTGCCTCAACTCAGTCATATGATGAGGCCCGCTGACATGCATCTGTGACAGGAAGTAAAAAAAAACAAACAGAAAAACTAACCCCCCCCCCTTCCGTCTCCTCTTCCCCTCTTCTCCTCTTGTCCAGCATCTGCCTGGCTGCCCAGCATCGTCAAGATGAATGAGAGTCGAAGGGAAGCGCTGGCGGCGGCGGCGCCCATGGCCACCACCGCCTCCTCCTCCACGGCTGGCTCCAACACCACCAACATGGCCGGCCCCGACACCGGCGAGAAGGACGAGGCCTTTTCCAAGCTGAAGGACAAGTTCATGAATGAGCTGAACAAAATCCCCTGTAAGTGCGTTTCACCTTCTCCTCAGCCAGTTAGACATCAGCTTCTATTCTAGTTCGGTGTTTTATCTTTGGGTTTGTGTGTTGGACAAAACTAAGATTTTCGGTTCTGGGAAAATTGTGACAGAAATGTTTCACCGTTACTTTGCCAACATTTTGACGACAAAGCAGAGAATTAATCCCAAAACTTAATTAGAAGAGCTCTCGGCGAGTGCATACCTCTGCCAAGGCTAACGTCCTATCTTGCCACGTTAAAGAAAGTGGAAAAGACATTTCTGGTTCCGCCTGGACCTGCACCAAAATTTAATGGGTTCTTCCTTGGGTCATGCTGGAGCCCTGCAGAAAAAAATTTGGTTCAGTAGTTTTTGAGAAATCCTGCTTAGAGTCAGACACCTTGCTGGACTCAACCGGCAGAACAATTAATAATGAAACAGAAAGTAGTTTCAGTTAGTTTGAAGCCCAGAAAACTTTTAATCCATGATGTTTTTTCTGCCAACACTGGCATTTTATTCAAAGAATAAACTGTGAAGCTCAAACCAAGAAACTATTCAGAATGTGAACCGTTTATGGCGAACGGGAGACGAAGTCTTGGCCTAGATATCCACAGTCTGCGCCCCCAGAGGCTAATTTCATCTTTAGATGATAAGCATGTTTGAAGCTTTTCTATTTTTCAAACTCTGAAATTGAATAACTTCAAGAACAACCCTAAAACATAGACACTTGGAAAAACACCCATGGGAATTGTGCATTCAGTATTTTAATTTAATTTCAGTGCATTGTTTACTACCACAAATGTTTTTATCAGTAGGTTTGTATAATTATCCTTCTTCTGGTGAAGGACAATGAAAATGAATCCATCAGAAGCCATTCAATGGATTCATCGTGATCCTGGTGGAACCGTGACTGAAAGAAATGATTCAACTCTGTGACGCACAAAAAACCTGCGTGTGTCAGACGTGACATTTTGACAAAGAGTCCCTGAAAATCGAGGAGACTAATGACTTATCCCAGCTTTTGTTTTGTGGCCTCTGAGTCAAACTTGTAAAAACAAATTCAAGTATTTAATGACTCAGATGGAAATTTCTCACTAAATCATCTTGTGAAAGAAGTAATAACAACACTCGACGAGGAAAACAAACATCTGGCAACAATAATTTAAGTGTTTGGCAGAATAAAATTTGTGCGGCAGCTTTTATTATTTCTTGTTTTTCTATCTCACTTATGCTTTTAGTCAAAATTGTCTCTTCTGTTCTGTTTAATGCAACATGTTCTGCCTTTTTATCACCAAATCCTTCCACGTCCACATTAGAATTTTAGTATATGGCGGTGCCTGTAAAGCGCTGCCTGCAGATCCAAAGATTTTTTGCATTCAGCTGAAATCTAAATATAGATATATCCACAGGCTCATGTGGAAGTAATTTTTGCAACAGGAAATGACTCCTGTGGAAGAGAGAAGTCCTGTTTCTCCAGCAAATGACAGCACTCGTCATATTCCCGCTTTCCAGAGATCTAATAGCTCAGGAAGGCAGTAAGAAGAGAAATTCTGTCTTCCACAGAGGGAGAGGGATTTATTTCCACCAGGTAACATATTTACTAAAATAAAAGCCCTATTTTTTATTCATACAGCTTCTGGCGATATCTAGTGAGCCTCATATCCATGTGGACTCGATGGAAAACAGCAATACATCTCCATCTTGAATGCGTGCTGTGGATAAACAAACAGGATCTACTCTTTTCTTTATTGTGTTTGTATGGAGACGCTGAGGTTGACGTCCCCTTTGGCTTCACACTGAATGTCTGTCATTGAGACGTAGCGCTATTCCCGCCGCATCCAGCCCAGAGCCTGACAACACAATCTTTAGAGCCAGAGCAGACGATTCATTATCGCTTCCAAGTCATGACATCGTAATCTGGAGGACTAGATTGGTCTTCTTTTGTGTTTCACAGGCAGAAAAGTTCTGTGAGATCATCCCCCAAAAAAGCCTGTCCATTATTCAGAGTCTTAAATTACTGTTTTCTCAACCTGGCCCCTTCAATCAGAAGCCGTGTGTCTACTCCCTGGTGCTGCTAAGCTGATGATGAATGCTCGTCGCCTTGTTTACTCTGTGGAATATCGATACCGTCTGGAGAAAGTCAGGTAGCAGGTAATAAGAAATAGAGGAATAGAGGAGAAGCTGCACAGTCACAGACTCTGCCGCTGTTACAGGAGGTTTTTCTTTCAGGCTCATGACCCAGTTTGATGTTTCAGGCTGTCAGCATGGAGCCGTCACGTCAACCAAACCTATTTCTGAATTTCTGTGCATAAAGATCTGGAGGTTTGTCGCCTCTGCCACATCTGTTGGTGAATCTCTCCAGCGTGAGAAACGACAAATTGAACGTGTTCCTTTATATTTTAGGTATTCTAACCACGTTTCAAGGAAGTTTCTCTCAAAAATATGTTTGGAGAGGTTTATTTTGAACAGTTCATGACCTCTGGAAATTAAATTTTAACATAAACACACACCTCAAACAAAGTGAGTCCAGTAAAAGCTCCTTACTAAGATTGTGTAACATATGAACAACGTTTAAAGACGTAGAGAAAAAATACCCGATACAGTGGTGGAACCCAGAGGCAGGAAGTGAGAAACGATAGATTCGAGTAATAATGTTGTTGCACAAAGTGTGTTTTTGATTCCTTCAGGAAACCAAACAAAGCCTTCTGATCAATTTGTGAATAATTCAGCCTTTCACACACACACACACATTTGGTGTAATCGCACTAAACCATATTGTTACTTCTCACTGAGCAGGTTGCCTCCAAGGAAACCAGTGCATTGAATTTCTAAGTAAGTTTTCTAAACACCCAAGGCTTTACTTCCCAATAACAATTAACCTCTGAACACAGAGGCTGTTTGATCCATGACTGCCGGCTCCGACAGCCATTACTCAAAATAACACAAGCCGTTGACATTTCAGAGAAATAAATAATGCTCTCTTCTTTTTCCTTTTTTTTTAATCAGAGGTTTTTTACGCATTTAAAAACCAAATGCACTCTTTAACATTTAAAATGCTGCAAAAGAAATTCTTTAATCAGTCTTTGCACAAAGTAATAAGTTTGAGTTTCTTCAAACGGAAAGAACTGTGAGTAAGAACACTTAAAAAAACTGGTACAGTTCTTGTTTTTTCAACAGACAGCAGGTTCAGTCTGTTTTTTAGTTTATCTGCTTTACTTTTCTTCAGAAAGGACAATCGATGTGTCTCTGTCTCAGGCATTTATCCACATCAATTGTCGCGAATCCATTTCCTGCACTGTTAATGTTGCCCCACTTCAAACTTAAAGAATTCCTGCAAATGCTTTGATGGAGCTGCATTTTATAGAATAGAGACTAGAAATAGCAAACGTATGTGATAAGTGTTGAATGCAGGGTTGTGCTGCTTTGGTGGTAAAGCCTCAGGATCTTGTTGTGGCAGATGAATGGGACCGGGAAGCTTCGTCCAACAAACAAACACTTACACAAACGCAGAGATAGAAACAGAAGGAAGAAGAAAACTGGCAAAGCTGGCTTCTTAACAATCCAACTAAATAACAAAGTTCCTGTGACATTTTAAACTAAAGCTTGTTTGGCATGAAAAGAGAAACTCACAAGTTTTCATTGTCATTAGCTCTCAATTACTTTATGACAACTCCTTGTCACACATAGTTGGAAGAAGCTCCCTGCACCATATTGTTTGCTTAAACGGGCCACGGGGCTGAAAGGGCACAGACACAGTGTTGCTCTCATAGGCATAACAAGATATAATGTCAAGGTTAATTGACCAACAGAGTCCTGTCACATTGGATTAGTGTGGGCTGCTGGAAGTCGATACAACCCAGATGCAGTATTACACACATGCACACACACACACATAAAACACTACATGTTTAAATGCATCCATAGAGCTCTATTCTGTATAAATCACAGTTTAAAAGCAATGAAAACTAGAATTCATCTTAAAATGTTGGACCCAATTTGTGTTGAGCTGGACGACAGCACCACACATATGTAAGAATGACTCACACACGTGTCATGAGTTTGTTGGAAGGACACAAAACGTCAGTCGGTGAATTTTGACTTTTTCCCATATATGCTGAGGTTGCTTCTGTTTGACCCCCTCGGCTCAAAACTGATATCCGATAAGCTCCTTTCTGAGAATCTAAAACCCGGCAGCCTGGTGCATCAGAGCCAAAATCAGATTTCAGCTTTTGCAGAGAATGAAATTTCCTCTTCCGCCCGCTGCAGTAAATAAAGATCTGTCATTTAAAACTCTGTGATGGTGTTTGTCAGTGGAGATAAAGGTCCAGTGTGAAGCATCAAGGAGGATCTGAGGCAGGAATGGAACATAATAATCATAATTACGTTTTCAGTAGTGTTATTATTTCTATATATAAGAATGAGGCAGACGCCATGTTGTGCCTCCATGTTTCTACAACAGTGACTCTAGAGAGGACGTCTGTACGTCACCTGAAGCCACAGTGGATTCAAACAAAGCTTTTACACCAGGTTCAGCTTTGAAATATAAAACATTGCAATGATATTCTGTCGGGTCTGTGGCCAAAGCAACATTAAAGTTTTGATTTCAAATACGCTGAGCTCCGTTATACACGTCCAGAGGGTTAATGACATTAACTGGAGGGTAAAAATGTGTTTTAATTATATAAATAACTTTAAAAAACTGTTGCAGAGACCAGTGTGAAACATTAAGCTGCAGCATTGAAGACGGGCGTATCACCAGTCCACGGTATGTCGTTCTTACATCGTGTAAAGTTTTTGAAGGCTGCTCGTTGTCACCGTGCTCAGGGCTGAAAAGTGATTTGGGCCTTGAGGAGCAGCGCACGTGAATTACACGAAGCGCAGCCCGCCCATTAAGAGAAACTCCGTTTTCCATGCCGTGTCACATGGCGGAACGAGTGATAAGTGCTGCGAGTTGACGTGCGGGTCCCTCTCGCTCTTTCTTTCACTTCCTCGCTCTATTTCTCTCTGGAGAAAAGACACTCACACAATGTAGTTAATTAGGGGAGGCTTTTATTGCTTTCTGGGACTCAGGTTCCGTTAATTAAGGAACACACGAGTGCCTTTCACTCGAAGACGTGCACTTGATGAATAAGATAAGGGCCCGGTTCATGCATTGATTTCTTACTGTAGCCGCTTTCCGTCGGGGGGCTCTGAGCTCCGATGATTGACTGTAGAGTCACATAAGCATTTCAAGGTAATCAAACTTTATATTAAACTGTATATTTATTTTGACTTCTGTTCATCTGAGCCTCTTTATGAAATAAAAAAAAAAAAATCAGATCCTCTTGTGAGGTGATGCTTATCGCTGTGGTTTGTCAGCTTGAAAAACGAACCTGTGTGTCTGTGTCGTTGCCAATTAGTGTAAATACATAACCGATGTTTTTTCAGCCATATCATTGGAAAAAGATTAACACCATGGTTTCTAAAGGATCATTAGGCCAATGTCACACTATGCTTTAGCCCGAATTTCCTGATTTGTTATAAAAAATTGTGAAAGGATGAAAATGTGACATTTTAAATGAATCAATGATTAAATACAGACACAAGAAAGTATTTTAAAAAGAAATAAGAATCTTAAGATTTACAAATCCTCAGGAGGATTTCAGTCTCTTTTTATGTCGTCAAAAGTTTAAATCCGCACCAACTCTGGCACCTTGTTTTTTCGTGGCTCATCCAGAGTCACCTCCATTAGCTGCACCGCCCCGAGGCCAAAGCTGTAGATCCGTAAAGTTATTTGAGAGCATCACTCACGGTTTCTCCTCAGAGGACAGTGCTTATTGATCGTGTCAACACACCATTGATTTTTCTCCTCTCTCCCTCCCTGGACCCTGGCGAAGGAACCTCAGCTGAATGCTGCTGAACAAAACCCCACAAAGATGGACTGTGAAATATTTTTCCGTTTGTGATGGCGTTTTTCATTTATTTATTTATTTTTTTCAGATAAAGTCTTCAGAGACGAAGGTTTAACCTGTTTTATGTTATGGGTTCGTTTGTTTAACCTGAGATTCACGTCTGCTGAGTTAAATAAAGCATTGATTATTATGTCTTTTTCATTATTATTACTTTTTGCCGTCTCTTATGTAGTTGGATAACAACCCACTTATTCCTCCATTGTCATTTGTGTGTACCTTCTCTTCTCTAACGTCCTCCTGACTGACTTTTAAATGTTTTTATTCAACCTCTGATTAGTCTGAGCAGCTCAGCCTTTCACGAAAGTTTTTGTCGAGAACTTTAGTCTTTAATTTCAACACAAAACATTTCCAAGCTTTTTCTTTACACAGTAATTTCAGAGCGTGTGAACACAACACGTCAAACTTCACCGAACCCATTTGTTTTCGCTGCATCCTTGACTTTCACGGTCGTACCTCTCAAACACACGCCCTGCAGAATGACCGCTGCTCCCGGCCCCGGCGAGCGCCGTGCTGCCGATGATTTCCGTGAAGGTGTCAGCTGTCTGAGCATCTTTTGTTTAAATGGCAAGTGGAAAATGCCAACATCTGTTGCTTCCACTAAATTGGCTGGAGCTGTTCAGTCGGGTCTTGTCCCACCAGTCAGCACCGATCGTTAAGTCTGCCACTTCTTGATGGGCCCGGGCTCTGGCTCCGGTGCTTGTCCGGCATGCCAACTCTGCCCGCACGCACGTTTCCCTGCTTTTATCTCACCTGTCAGATTCTATAATCGCTGCTTTTGTGCAACTTTGGTTCAAATGCTGCTTTGGCCAATTTCACTGAAATCTGCTTCTCCTCTCAGCAGTGGTTTTCTCTCAGAAGTCTAATCCCTCTTCTTCCTCTTTCCTTTTTTTTTTGTCACCAGTGCCATCATGGGCCATCGTCTCCATCGCCTTCGTGGCGATCATCCTGGTGTTAGCGTGCTGCTTCTGCATCTGCAAAAAGTGGATATTCAAGAAGAAAAACAAAAAGAAGGGCAAAGACAAGGGCAAAAACGCCATCAACATGATGGACGTGAAGGATGGAGCCAAAACCGAGGTAACAACTTTGAACTACTGTTGCTTAAAACGGAAAAAAAGAACCGTTCCCGTACTCGCTAATTTAATCACGTTCTTTTGTTTAATCCTGTTTGCATGACGTTTTGCTAAAATCTTAATTTATCCGTTCAGAATTAATATAACTTTAATTATTTTAATGTGATACGGTGCCAGATTAGATTTTTGAAATGTATTATTATGCGATGGCTGACTCTTGACTGTATGTATTTTTTTCATATTATTTATTCATTACTGCCAAACAGATAGTTAAAGTGCGATTTATTATATTTGATTGAATTAAAAACAAATCAAGTCTAATTACAGGAGACGTAATGGAAGTCATTTAAATGGCTTCAGATTGAAGAGAGAGTTTCTCTTCTTTTTTTTTTTTTATCTCCTACTTTTGGTTCCTGTGAGTGTTTTCTTTTCGGGTCACATGAGGACCTGCTCTCTTGTTGAAGAGAGTGAGGAGCGTTTGCCGTGTAATGAAGTGGTATCCACCCAGAGAAATGACATCAGCAAACCATAAACCAACAGGAGGAAATTTAATTGAACCGTTTCGAACTCTGACGCTTCAAATGCGTCAGCGGCAGAGCGTCACTACGTCACAGGACCTCAGTTATCACAGGTGGATCGGAAGAAAAGACACTGACAATGTTTTTATATTTTAATTGACTTAGTTGTTGTAGAAGAAAACATCAATTGAGACTTTATTGAAACTCATTTATTCTCGTAACAGAAAACAACCAGCAAGGTAATTCAGACAGCGGCAGAGAAGATGTTTTTCAATTAATTAAGACCTCATTTATCGGTCACTAATCTCTGCCGAGGCAAAGCGGTCATTTCTCCTGGTGTGCCCAGACTCTGGTGTGTTAACTCCTGTGTGTGGTTGTTTTAATTTGTGTTTCTTCCTTCTATGTCCTCCTTATCTGTGTTGTGTCTGATGACTGTTCGGGATGGTCACTGGCGGTAGGTTCCCAATTGCTGTTGGATCTTCTTAAGCCTGCTGCTCTGACGTTTTCTTATAGCCTCTTGACAACAACTTACTCCTGTAGAACCAAATATATGTAACTATGCACACAGTACATGTATATCTACTGTATATATGTGTGTACAACCTGCATATGCACATATATATGTTTGAAAGAAACACTGGGTGCGCATTGACAAGGTTGAACCACACTGATTTTTGTGCCAAGCTGAAGTCTCCTGCCTTTTGAATATTTCATTTTACATTTGAAACAAGTGGACAAACGCAGAATGATGAAGAGGCTCAACGAGTTCATGCAGTGAAACAGATTCCTGCAGCACGTCTTCATAAAGCAAATATAAAATCCTCTTAATAAATACATTTTGCCCTGTCTACACTACAAGGATATTTTGCAGAACAGACTTTTCCCTGTTTGTTTGTGCCCCTCGCTCACAGGAGCAGGAGCTCACATGACTCACGTTTCAATTAATCAATTTACATTTTTAAAACAGTTATTGCGTTACCCTAACCCGAGCAATGCAAACTGTACTTTGCATCGTATATATTTAATCAATTACATCTGAGATCCACAATTGAAAACAACAGCGCTTGGACCTGTAAGCAGATTTCACTCGTCACAACTTAACCAAACATAGCACTTACGAAAGCTTTTGGTTAAGCTTGACAAATAACTATCAGCAAAGATTTTGGTTTGGTGTTGAAGTAACTACAACCAAAGAAAAATAAGATCACTGAGCATGCTCACGATTATCTTCTCTGGTATTTGACCGGTCGTTCACGCAGACGTTATCTCCCCCGTTCTTTACGTTTTGTACGACAAAGGTTGTTTGAACGGAGAAAATATCCGCAGTAGTGTAAACAAGGCCGTTAATCACCGCAAGCATTTCACTTGCTCCACTTTTCTCTTTTTTCCGAAACGTGAAAACCAAAAACTAATAACCAAAATTAACCAAAAGGCGGAGACCAAGTGGCTCAGCGGGAACATTTTAAAACCAATCAGTGTTGATCAGCCTTTTGCTTTCACATGAGCAACTTGACAAACTAATAGGAGCAGGCCCCCGATGTACATTACAACCCCCTCTACCAACACCTACCCACCCACCGCTGGCATGATGCTTCTAGCTACCATCGGCGTTGGGGGTCAACCTTACAGCTTTTCGGGGGTTATGATGACAATGCGACTGTTATGTTTGAGGGCGTGGCCAGACTTGGGAATGGGGAATCACACGAGAGCACTGGTTTGAACGACAGAGAATGCTCTGCATGCCTAACAGAGACGTCTTGGAAGGCAACGTTTGAAGCTGAATGATTGACCTTGAGAACCAGTCTTTGCCTCTTCAATCGCATGTTGGTCCTTTAACAGACTCCTCCACCCCCACCCCTCCTTCCCCCCCTCCCACACCTGCTACCCTCACCTCAGCACCAGGCTAACGATAAGGGCCACGTCGCACCTCTCACTCTCTGCCACTCCAGACACTTCCCAGTTTGCCAGAGACTTGATCTGCCTGAAATAAAATCAAGGGAATTGTCTTACTGTGATCTTTTCCAGAAGCATCTCTCTCTCTCTCTCTCTCTCTCTCTCTCTCTCTCTCTCTCTCTCTCTTTCCCCCCCTCTCTGTCTCTCTCCCCCTCTCTTTGTCTCTCTCCCCTCCTCCCCCTCCCCCTCTTCTTCCTCTAATGCCTGCCCCATTGCTCTCATCTCTGGCGCCATCGTTTGATCTTTTCTCCCTT